GCTTTGATGGCTAGAGCAATAAGACAAATATTCTGCACAATTTCTGCTTACTATGATATATGTGCTCAAGTGCTAGCAATACCCCTGTGCCATGTATATTGGTCAGACTGGACAATCTCTATGACAAAGGATTAATGGCCACAAATTAGATATTCAAAATGGTAACACACAAAAACCTGTTGCCCAACGTATTAACCTGCCTGGGCACTCATTAATGGATTTAAAAGTACAGGCCTGGGGGAGAGGGAGCCCCTTTGCCCCCCCTTTCCACTAGGCACCCATGCCCCTGATCGGCCTGGGAGTCGGTGAGCATGTGAATCCGCCTCCTTCCCTACCCCCACCCTGTGAGGAGCAAGCAGTACTTCAAAGTACATGCGCTGCTCGCAGGGTGGGAAGAGACTTCACACGCTCTCCCGCCCCCAAGTCCTGATTGGCCTGGGGACGGGGGAGTGTCTGATGTCTTCTCCTGCCCTGTGGGACGCGTGTGGCCCTTCAAAGCACTGCATGCTGTTCGCAGGGTGGGGAGGAAGCTTTGAGTGCTCCCCTGTCCCCAAGCCCTAATTGTCCTGGGGGCGGGGAAGCAGCAGGGCCTCCACAGGCAGGATCAACCCACTTGGCGAGCCGGCCCACGGAGTTCCTTTTGCCCACCTCTGGTGTAGATAATACTTAGTCTTACAATGAGTGCTGGGGACTGGACTAGATGACCTCTTGAACTCCCTTCCAGTCCTGTGATTTAAAGTGTGACATGATTCCTTGTTACATAGAATGGATTAAATGAGGGTATTTGGCCACAGGGTTTCCTCTAAGGTAGGCGCCTGTGAAGGCGTGCATCAAAAATTTCAGTTCCATGCACCTCCTCAGCAGAGCTGTGCAGCCATGCCCCAGCTGCCCCATCTCAGGAACAGCTGGGCAGCCACCACACAGCCCACATAGGAAGTGCAGACTCTGCCCAGCTGAAGGGAGCTGAGCCCTGTACCTGGCTCCGGTTCCCTGCAATGATCCTGCAGCTCCCACCTCCTTCCCCTCCGAGGAACGGAGCGGCCACTGCACTGTGGTGGATTGAAACTTCCTCTGGAGGGAAACATGCTAAGCAGGGAGGTGGGGAGTGGGTTTTGGTACTACATGGCCGGGCCAGTGCACTGTGCCCCAGAGCACCCTGAGCAGGGCAGGAGCCGCGGTTCTCTGGGCTGCCCCCAGAGGCACCACTGCTAACTGCGAGTTAAACTTTGGTGGTCGTGAGAAGGCAGCCACCCCCCACGAGGGGAGGGGAGGGGCGTGTGCAGACCTCAGTCATTGATTGGTGGTATGGGAGGTTCAGTGCAAGAAGGAAGTGGTGTTTCAAATTTCAGTGGTGGAAAGCTTGTGTTGCTGAGCTCGATTCCCAACGACCATAACGGCCACCTAGCTCGGGGGAAGGGGTGTGCTCTGCCTCTGCCAGAGGCAGGAGCCGGGGAGTCCAGGGCTTGGGGATGAGAGTGGGGATCCTGAGAGAGATCACACATGCTCCTGGTCCCCTGTCACCTTTCCCTTCTGCTCCTGTGGTGAGTGGGTAAATGAACTCACCCCACCTCCCTCTCTCTGGCCCCACTCCTGTTTTCCATCTGTTCAGGGAAGGATTCTGTAGAACAAATGCTTTTGTTTGCACTCACATGAAGACCCCTGCTCAGATATAAAATTTGACTCCGCATCTGTATCCACAAAAATGAGCTGCAGATATCTGCATCCACTGATGTGGAAACCCGCGGCTATCTGCAAATATGCAGAGCTCTAAATATATTTGTATGCACATTCATAGCTGCAAAAATGAGCCATGGATATCCGCATCCATATCTGCAGATACCCACAGAGGGAAGCTAATGCAAGGTGGATAGCCGAGGATTTGCAGAGCTCTACCCATGTGCTATCCATACAGTTGCATTTCCCAGCTGCTCTGGATGGGGATCCCATGCAGAGACTCCTCTCATATCCACCTGTCCTAAGCCACTTGTTCTGTCACAGGTGCCTAATGTGATTGTATACTGAGCCGATAAGAGTTTTTCTATGTCACCAGCACAGAGACCATTAGCAGGTGTTCCCGAGAATATCTCCGTGGAATCTCTGCTTGAAGGTAGCAGCGGAGCATGATGTATGGTGCATTTGATCTGGCTATTGGTTCTTGACTTCACTCTCTGTGTAGTGTCTGCACAGTTGAGATATAGGTATCTGAGTAAGCAGCTGACATGGATCTGTTGTTTGGTGCTTTCATAAAGGTCATGAGATTCCAACCCTTGAAGCTTTGATCAGCCTATTTTAAATTCTGACTGGTTAATTGCTCCCTGGTGATGTGGGGCCAAGTAGGGAGACTAGGTAACTTTCTAGACAAACTCAAGAGCCCTGAACAGAGGGCAGCTAATGCAAGAGTTTTAGAGGAAGTTGAGAGAAAGATTGAGAGAGGTTTTCCTTCCAGATTTGTTTCTACACGCTAGTTCAAGATGGCCAGCAATGAATAGTGATGGTAGTGGAAAGGGTGCACAGGATGAGGGTGCAGGGACTAGGGAGCAAGGCTGTGTGGGAGTGAGACTTGGTGCCAAGAAAGGTGGTTTTCTGGGTGTGTTTGTGAATTATCCCTTGTTTTGTTTTTTTTCCCCCATAACTATATATTTGTTAGTAACTGGTGAGTGCCATGGTGACACACATCTGAACAAGTGTACATGACGTCACTATTGGCGCACAAAACAAAATTCACTCCATTCTAGGGTTGCCAGGTGTCCGGTATTGACCCAGACAGTCTGGAATTTTCGGCTCCTGTCCGGTAAAAAATTCAGAAAATACTGGACACCTGGCAACCCTAACCCTAACCCTAACCCTAACCCTAACCCTAACCCTAACCCTAACCCTAACCCTAACCCTAACCCTAACCCTAACCCTAACCCTAACCCTAACCCTAACCCTAACCCTAACCCTAACCCTAACCCTAACCCTAACCCTAACCCTAACCCTAACCCTAACCCTAACCCTAACCCTAACCCTAACCCTAACCCTAACCCTAACCCTAACCCTAACCCTAACCCTAACCCTAACCCTAACCCTAACCCTAACCCTAACCCTAACCCTAACCCTAACCCTAACCCTAACCCTAACCCTAACCCTAACCCTAACCCTAACCCTAACCCTAACCCTAACCCTAACCCTAACCCTAACCCTAACCCTAACCTCCACACCTCCACAACCTTGGTCTCCCCCACCCTTTTTTCCTCAACAGAATTTTTCCCCAGTATTTTTTTTGGGGGGGGGGGGGTTCGGTATTTTTGGTTAAAAAAGCTAGCAACCATCTAGCAACCCTACTCCACTCACAGATGGAAAATCTTAGAAACAGATGGAAAACTGTTTGAGCATGGTATTTTCTCTGAGATAGGGTTACTTAACAGTCATCCTGCACATGCTGGCAAGAATGGCTAACTATCAACTACTATTTGGTTCAAGAACTTACTGTTAACCTGTAAACGTTTTTACATTGGAAAACATCCTAAAAGTGTAGGACTTCTCATAGTGGATCAAAGCTTTGATTGGTCTGGTTTGGGTTCATTTCTGCATCAGTGGTAAATATCTGATTGCTTGGAAGAACTTGTACCTTTTTAATTTCCCCTTCCTTTCCAACATGTGTGTACTCTGAAACTTAAAATGGCTAGGTGTATTGATTGAATTGTGATCTGCTCATTTATTGTCCCTGTGTAAAAACTTGCTCAATTAGACATTTTATAGCACATTTTTGGGGGAAGGGGAGGAATTATGCTTTGAGACAGTCATTGAAGCTGATAATCTCAATGGTAGGTGTTTAAAAAAAAGACTATCATGCCAATAAAGTAAAACTTAACTAAGAAAAGAGGTACACTTGTTGGGAATACAACTGGCCAGCTATGGGTGGTCAAAGGCACATTCCTGGTTTTCCTTTGCAGTGACATCATGAAGGTTAATCATTCCCTTTGATAATTTGTGCTGTCTCACTACAGTAGATGGCAGTACCGTCTGGTTATTAGAGCTGCACATAACAGCAGTGTTTGTGATCGCTCTCAGCAGAATTTACTCTACATAAATGAGAACCTCTCTACCTTCCTATAGGCTATCCTCTCTCAAACTGCTAAATTAGGAGAAATGGCTTTGATCTTTTATTTCTGTATTACCATAGACATAAATGCTGGAAGTATGGCAAATGAAGAGCCCAAAAATCTGAGGGACTCACTGATTCAGCAGATGGGTGATGAGCTATAGTACCTTTACTTTTAGGTTGCCACTGCCAATCCAACATGGGTCAGAAGGGGCTCAAAGTCATTTACTCTCACATGAGTGTTTGGCAGCCAATGTAACATGAGCGTGTGATCAGGAAATAAGTGCTTATATCTCCATTTGCCCCCCCCCCCCACAAATGGCAGCAATTGACACCCTTGTTACCTTCACAACTGACACTGGTGGTCTCTGCAGCAAGGCTAAGGACAGGGATACCGGGACTTTCCCAGTGGGCCGTCGTCTGAATGGCCGGCTGCTGGAGGAGGGGAGGGCACGGGGGAGAGAAGGGCTGGTGCAGGGGGGGCAGGTCCCAGGTGGGCTGAGGGCAGTGAGAAGGGGAGGAGTCAGGACAGCAGAGGAGAGTGAGCGGTTGGGGGGGGGGCAGCAGGCACCAAGGGAGCTGATGGAGCAAGGGGAGGAGACATGGCAGCAGAGGGAAAACGTAGAGGCTTATAAGATATTTATTAATAACTTGGGTGCCACAGTGGCATATCCAAACAAGCCACATGAACTCAGTACTGGTTCACAACACAAAATTCATTCTGCTCATGGGAGGAAACTCTTAGAGGGAACACTTCTCTCAGCCTCTCCACCCCGCCCCTCCACCCCTGAGTTAATGTGACACACATTGGGTTAATGCAATTGCAGGATAGTTGCATGAGGGGGATTTGGTGGGGGCCAAACTCATCCCTATTGGTAGGAGGATGGTGGGAAGTCCTTAGAGGGGGGGTCACATGACACCTTTTACTTCTGGTCATGTGTCTATCTGATCCCGAGAGTGTTACCTCCAGAGGCCTGGCTAATGGGAGTCAGGGTGTGTGGCTAATGTTACCCTAATTTTGCTTCAGAAAATATGGTCACCATAATTGTAATGTCCACCTTAAAGCTTCTAAGAGTACATAGTGATTGGTTGAGTAAGTGCCGATGTGTGTGCGTATTGTAGTTGTTGCTGTCCGTACATTCCGCGAGTCTTGCGGTGTGGTGCAGTATGTGACGTCACTGTACACGGTTGTTGTTGACAATATTTATTGGTGCTTGTATATTGTTCCAGTTCCCGTTGTGGGTCTGTCGACATCCTTTGCAGCCACCACAGACATCACCGCCATTCCTGTCGACCTGGTGTTATTTACAAGAAGAATTATAGCAGTATATAAGTACAACAAAAGTAATTTAAAATATGTCAAAAAGAAAAGTGCAAGGTGGTTGGGAGAAGTTAAAAAAGAAGAAACAGGCTATCTTACAAGCCAAAGTGAAAACATGTCAGAAATTAACGGACATTTTCTAAAACTACTTCTCAATCAGATGATTCTTCCATTGTGACCAGTCAGTCTTCCCTGTCGCCGTCACTGAATATAAATGTTGCTACACACATCGTTGATACTCGTACTTCTCAGTTTGATGGAACACAAACATTCGATTCTACAACTATATCTGCACAATCTTCACATTCTGCTTTGCCGTCATCAGCATCACTGATAAATAAGAATTCAGACTCTACTCTCAAAGTCATTCCCGCCATTCCATTGACTTCACAATTTCCTGATAATTCCGTTCTCGAACTTGAACAATTGTTGAACTTGCAGTCCTTTACTGGTAACCCTCATGATTTTGTTTCTGTCGCGCTGTTGACCTCTTCCTCAGGGCTACGTCTACACTGGCCCCTTTTCCGGAAGGGGCATGTTAATTTCAGAAGCCGTAATAGGGAAATCGGCGGGGGATTTAAATATCCCCCGCGGCATTTAAATAAAAATGTCCGCCGCTTTTTCCCGGCTTTTAAAAAAGCCGGAAAAGAGCGTCTACACTGGCCCCGATCCTCCGGAAAAAAAGCCCTTTTCCGGAGGATCTTATTCCTACTTCCTTTGAAGTAGGAATAAGATCCTCCGGAAAAGGGCTTTTTTTCCGGAGGATCGGGGCCAGTGTAGACGCTCTTTTCCGGCTTTTTTAAAAGCCGGGAAAAAGCGGCGGACATTTTTATTTAAATGCCGCGGGGGATATTTAAATCCCCCGCCGATTTCCCTATTACGGCTTCTGAAATTAACATGCCCCTTCCGGAAAAGGGGCCAGTGTAGACGTAGCCCTGAGGAAGAGGTCAACAGCGCGACAGAAACAAAATCATGAGGGTTACCAGTAAAGGACTGCAAGTTCAACAATTGTTCAAGTTCGAGAACGGAATTATCAGGAAATTGTGAAGTCAATGGAATGGCGGGAATGACTTTGAGAGTAGAGTCTGAATTCTTATTTATCAGTGATGCTGATGACGGCAAAGCAGAATGTGAAGATGAATATGGGGATAATGAATCTGAAAGTATTTATTTCTTAAGACTAAAACAAGAAAATCTAAATCATTTTCTCAAGTTTCATCCAAAACAGCCCAATTTTAATGAAAAATTAAATTACAAAAAGATTTGTTTTCAACTAGATGGTTTACGTCGTTATAGGTTGATGTATAATACTGAAATAGAACATTTATTTTGCTTTTTTTGCATTGCATTTAGCAACGATTCGGATAATTCTACATTTATCACTGGATTCTATGTCAATCACACTAAACACATTCACCAAAGAATCTTAGAACATGAAATGTCCGCACTTCATGCAAATTCTAATGAAGCATATATTTTAAAAACTAACAAAAAAGATCTGTTAAGTTTATTTACAAGAAAGAAACTTGAAAACTCACAGCACAATCATCAAATCATGCAAAGGATAATTGAAGTGATAAAACTAATTGGAAAGGGAGGGCTCAGCTACAGAGGAAGTGCAAATACATTATTCAACAAAAATGTTGATCACAGTAACTTCTTGGAGTTACTTTTACTTAGTAAATTTGATCCAATATTAAAAGTACATATTGATGAGGCAGTAGAAAAAAGCAAACAACGTCATGAGATCAATGTGAATAAAAAGAGGCGAGGAAATCTGCAGACATTGTCCAAAACAACTGCAAATGCAGTTATTGATTCCATCACACTCACCTTAAAGAAAATGCTAGGTGATTAAATTAGAGATGCAGAAATGTTCAGCATATAGATACAACGCAGGATATCAACGTTCATGATCAATGTTCGATTGTTATAAGCTATGTGACAAATACTATCCATGAACGGTTAGTGATGGCACTCAACTACTCGTCAACAACTGGAAACGCATTGTGTGATTTAGTTTGCAATGCTTAAAAAAACCCTGAATATCGATGTAAAAAAAAGTATCAGTAACTCTACTGATGGAGCAGCCAATATGAAAGCTGAATATAATGGGTTTTCTGTGGGGCTTGACTATGATGCACCTGGCCAAATGCATATGTGGTGCTATGCACATGTTTTGAACTTAATTGTAAGTGAAATAACACAGATTACGGTGGAAACTATTTCTCTCTTCAGGATTATTAACACCTGTGCAGTTTCTCAGAGAATCATACCTACGCATGAATGTGTGGTGTGAATTTAGTAAGATGTATTATATTTCAGTTCTTGGAGATACTCGCTGGTGGGCGAAAGACAGAGATTTAAGAAAAATTTTTGGCCTTTTTAATACTACAGATGTTACATTTTATTGTGATATGTTACAAACATTTTACGAAATGTCATACACCATTAAATTTAACAAAGATGCGCATCACAAAGCCAAAACTATTTTGGATTCTCTGACTTGTTTTGAAACAATAGTAACTGCACAACTATTTTTACAGATTTTTGAGCACACTTCTCCTTTATCAGAGTATTTGCAGTCGAATAACATGTTCATTATAAAAGCGTATCAGATGATTGAAAGTAAATCTGAAGAACTGTCTAAAATATTGAGAAATTTTGAACAAGTCCTTATTTGTAACATCGGCAAATGAAGAATTAGAAATCAGAAATGTGGATATCCTTGTTGAAACAGATTTTAAAGAAAAATGGACTAGAATACAGAAAAAGTTACCTTGGGAATTTGGTTCGAATGAAACACTACAAAATGCAAAAGAAATTTATCACATAAATGTGTATAATGTTACAATGGATAGAGTAGTTAGCAGTTTCAATACGAGGTATCTAAAACACCACAATCTTTACACAGAATTTTCTTATTTGGATCCAAAGAAGTTTGAAAATATTCTAAACAATCTCCCCGAAAATGCATTTGAAAAATTAAATGAGTTGTTAAAAATATTTAGCAATACTATCTCAAAAGAAATATTGAATGCAGAGATGATGGATTTCGCAAGGAAATGGAGCAAATTCAGGTCAACTCTTACCGAAGATGTCTTAAATGACACTATTGAGAATAGTGAGGATTGTGTCGAAGCTGCTCTAGAGAACTGTAAATCCTGCGAAAACTGCATAACATGTTACCATTTTTTGGCCAAGTTTAGGCCAAGTTTAATTTGCACCCGCTGGCGTATAGGCACATCTTTCTAGTGTACAAATATGTATTAACCTTGTCTGCAACCCAGGTATCCTGTGAGAGGTCTTTTTCAAAGCTGAAGTATTTTCTGAACAAATTGAGAAATTCTTTCACAGTCACATCTTGAATCCTTCATGTTAATGTCATGCAAGAAGGACCTACTGTCCAAAATAAATAATGCGGACATTATGAACGACTTAGCGTTAAAGAGTAAATTTTTAAAAAATTCTTTGATGTGAAAAAGTGGGCAGTTCTCAACCCATTTCCCAGGCCTATTTTGATTGCCAGTCTGCCCTTGGCTAAGGACCATGGAAATTCAACTTCTCTCTCCTCCATGGGGGCAACTGTTCTAAATCAGAGTTAGGGCACCTCAGTGAGACAGTCTGTGGGAAGCTTGCACTGCTCCGGCCTGACCTATTCCTTTTCTGTCGTTGGGAGTTCTCCATCCAATCTCCAGGATTGTCACTCTAGCACTAAATTGACTTAAAGTAAAAACCCTGAAGGCATAAAAATGTGTCTGAGTAACTAGGTAGCAAAGGAAATTCCAAGTAGGATTATTAATACCCTCTTAGAAAGTGAGGAAAGAAAAGTGACCTAGGCTCTATCCCCCAGGGAGATTACAAGTGTATGATGCATGCTATCACTGGCCAAATACAGAGGAGCCGAATGAAAAAGAACTGGCATATTTCAGAGGGGATTAAAATTACAGTGGGTTAAGGTCAATGCCGGATCAATGCCAAGAAATCCCGCTATTAAACTAAAGGCCCACAAAGATTTTAAAGTACAATATTTTGTAGACCATCAGAGCAGGGTATTACTCTGTGTCAGTAGAAGGCTGGGAGGTAACCTCAGTTTGGTCACTTTGTCTAATTTTACAGGGAGCTTTACAGGTGTGAAACACATTTTTAGTTACATGTTTTATAGTGGATATAATTGCACCTACCAACAAGAGCCAAATTTAGATTGGTGTAAACAGGTGCGATGACTTTCCTGTCACCATGTCTGAATTTGAGGAATGGGGGCGAGAGAGAAGGAGACAGGAATAGTTAATGGAGAAGAAGGATGGAATGAAAAGAAAAGAGGCATGATTTGAATACACTGCTGTTTGAACTCACACTGGTTTAGCAACATCAAAAGGTATGCAGTAACTCTGCCATGAGTAAAGTGTCAACTGGCAACATTGTAAAGACTGTTGCAAATGGTGGAAAACAACTCTATCAATTGCTGTTGTCCCCTATATTCTACCATTACAAGCAAATGTTAATGGTGTTAAGCAATTGCATCAGTGACTAGTGCTTCAAGTGCTTTGCTGACTACTTGGAATAGGAAACTTTATAGACTAATATGGTCAGTCACCTCAATGTATTGAATTTCTAGAATCTACCTCTGCAGACCTGAAATCAATACACAACAGCTGCAATGGAGCAGTATACACAACAATATGGTGTTAGGGAAAAAAAGACAGTCCTCTCTGGCTTCCTTAAACACAAGTTTTTGAGTAAGCATTGACCAAGACTCAGAATCCTCTGGCTCTGCCTTGCTTTCTACTATAGTCCTACAGGCCCATAACCTTTTGCGTCAGTGGATAATTGGAAGTAAGATGTGTGAAACTTCTGCAATGCTGTACTGCAGTCGTCAGCTATCAGGGGACAAGATTGCACTGCAGTGGGAAACAGCACTGCAGAACAAATCCTGTTAGACTCTAATAGATCCCAGGGTGTATCCTCTGGCTCTGCCTTGCTTTCTACTATAGTCCTACAGGCCCATAACCTTTTGCGTCAGTGGATAATTGGAAGTAAGATGTGTGAAACTTCTGCAATGCTGTACTGCAGTCGTCAGCTATCAGGGGACAAGATTGCACTGCAGTGGGAAACAGCACTGCAGAACAAATCCTGTTAGACTCTAATAGATCCCAGGGTGTATCCTA